GTTACTAATGAATATTTAATATTTTCTTGCCCTTGAAGTTTCAGTTTGATTTTACTTTAAAACTGTCCCTGAACAAAGGTTGGAAAACATTAAATGGGAACAAAGATGAAGACAGTAAATCTAATGACTGCTACGCTGCCCTCTCAACAACCAGGAAATTTGCTTAAGAGAACAAGACTCTCTCTCTCTCTCTCTCTCTCTCTCTCTCTCTCTCTCTCTCTCTCTCTCTCTCTCTCTCTCGCATTAGTATGGTTCTCCATGGAAAGTTTTTCATGCTAGTTTTGCCTACTTATTTACTTTGTCACAGGTTGATATTCCTAACTGAGTGGTACACTGAAGATCTCGAAGCAAACATTCTATAGGCTGCCAGTAAGGGGTCATCCATAATTTTCATTTTCACGAGCGAACAAACCGTACGCGGGGGGGGGGGGAGACTAGGTGTCATCTTTTTTTAATGAAAAAATGATGATCCGTCAATGGGCGAGTCGGTGGCCGCCTTGTTTAAAAATATATATAATATACAACTATTCATAGTGAGTGTGTTGCAGGGATGAAGGTGTAAAGTCACTCCGTGAGACTGAGGCTCTGCATTTGGTGATGTCCAGCTGGAAGACCCAGCTGAAGTGACATCAGGTGAAATTTCCGCCGCGATGACGTTCGGTCTGCCACTACATATCAGTTCATAAAAGGATGGTTCCAGCAATTTTTTTTTATTCATTAGGCCATGGAAAAATATTATATTGCTTTAAACATTTGCTTCAAATCATCTGTAGTCATAAAAAGAACAAAAAATGCAACATACTGTAAAAAAAAAAAAAAATGTAGGCTCATTGTATAGACTGTCATCAGAATCTTGATTTTAATACAGTGAAAGAACAATAAATCAAGACGTGGCTATATTTTGAATGCATATAATTTTCTTAGAATCGCAAAATAAGAACACATATAGATTGGGAGATCTTGATCCACCACCATTTTTCGTCCGCTACCGTACACTTAGGGGGAGTTGCTCAAGAGTCTACACTTTTTAGACGTGATAATAATGAAAATTATGGATGACCCCTAAAGGCTTTACCAATGTCAATTTGTTATTTAATTTCTAGACAACAAAAACAAAATTTGAAACTGAACTGCCTGTGAAATATTCATTTATCTATTCTGAGCATGAATTAAATGTCAGGTTTGATTTAGCTTTGTAATAAAGCTTACATCTCGTATCATATATTTCGGCTACATGAAAAAAAATGCAACTTGAATGAATTGTCAGAATGAAACTGGTTGCTAAACAAGGAAAGACTCATTTTATGGTCAGGCGGTGCAACTTAACCTTCGACCAAGTGTTAACAATCACTTTTGAATTTGAAACAATTCCAAAAATGACAACTGATAGCAAATTTCAAGACAGCTTAGGATGACTGCAATACTTGTTAGGCAGTTTCTGCGCTGCAGTAAAATTCTGCTTGGCGCCCTGCAATATCCACTATATTTGTGATTGTGAGGGGCTAACCCCCCCCCCCACACACACACACACACACGCATACGATTTTCGCCCCTGGCTCCATGAGGATCAGTAGAGGCATCACAGTATATTGCAAGTGGTGGGGTACCATGAAGGGGATGGAGAATTTCATCTATACATTTCAAGAAATGGTCTTTAACTCTGTTACTGAGTTCACGGATTTAGGCCCTGTTAATTTACCAAAATGAACATTTACATGTTATCTATGCCATGGTGAAGTAAGTGTTGCTTTTGGAATGTTGATAAAATCATTGTTCCACACATTGAAGCTGAGAATAATTTAGGCAGTTTTGGCCTAACACTCTTAGTTAGACTTTATTAGATTGGAGTCTTGTGTTTCTGCAAACTGTTGATGTTCTAGGTAATACATTTCACGAGATTATTTGGGACCATCAGTTAACACTTGGCCGTTCCCAAGGCCCACTGCAGAGGCTGCAGTTGCTCGAGCCAAACGCAAACACCATTTCCTGGAGCTGTGGCTATTGAACCATCGATTGGATGCTGCGTTATGGACATCATCTGCTCTATCTGCATTTGTAGATCATTCAGTTCACTGTTGGACTTTAGTTTGTCCTGCTGCAGTGAGGGATGATCTGCAGCTGGTGTTGGAAATGATGGCGCTTTTACCCCTGTTCGTGCTTGTGGTGTGGACGGTGCCATAGCTTTACTCCAGGGACCATATCACTGCCTTCAGACATCTTTTCTGCGCACTCTGACCTTTCATGGGGAAGAGCGCAGTATCAGCACCGCGGTGCGTCTCCTGGACAAGCACGTGTTCTATGTCTCCACTTCGAACAATTGGAGCAAAACGGGGTCAGGGATATGACGACGGCACGCCTTAGGGGTGCCATGCCCTCAACCATTCTAATAGTTTTGGGGATTACCTCCCCCTCGTACGTTATGATGACTCTCTAGGTCATCAGTCTCTTTTTTTTTTCATGCGTTTGGCATGAATGACTCGTTCATTGCACGAATTAATTT